CCCCCCCGCCTGTTAAAAGGAAGAATTGGGTACAGGTTTCCATTCTTATCTCACTGCTCACATTTGTTTCACAGATCACCTTTAAAAGGGCTGTAAATGGGCTGTGGGGCTCAATTCCCGGGCTGAGCCTAAACCTCGAAGCAGGTTTGTGTTCTGGACAGAGCTGGGGATTAACTCTGCTCTGTTTAACAAGTCCCCCAAGCCTGAGGAGAAGTCATTGCCCACAAAAGACCTGCAATTCCACTATATTCTAGGGAAAGGTGTCTCTGCCCATGGTGGGGGTTGGAAGTGGACCTTTGAGGTCCTTTCCCAGCCCAAACCATTCTGGGGTTGAAATGCATCGGGCCAGAACCTTCCTGTGGAAATCAGCGCCTGGCCCCTGCTTTAAAGCCAACAGCTTGGATGAATCCTTAGATCCAGCTGCAGCGGGGCAGGTTTTCACTCCTGAGCCCTTGCACTCCTCGTGTGATGGCACTCAGGCGGGAAACTGAAATTTCAAACTGAAGTTGTGAATGAGCAGGAACACTTTCCTCACCTCTGAACCCGTTCCCGTTGCCGCTAGAGCAGGCGGGAGAGGGGGACCCTTGGGGTCTGATGACAGGAGCAAAGGCACTCTTCTGTTTGACAGCAGGGAACACCGAAGAGGAGAACGGGAGGATGGAAGAAGTGCTGGAGGAGCCGACTGTTGGACTTGAAGACATCACTGCCAGAGGGGAACAAAATAAAAAGGGGGTTCCTCATCAGAAATTTGGTAAAACTGCTTCAAGAATGCATGGTCTGAGTTCCTTTTTTCACCTCTCAAAGGAGCTCTCATTCTCTCAGTGAGTTTAGTTAGAGCAAGTCTGGAGTAGAGAGGGAGTTAAACAGAATAGTTCAGAAAAATAACGGTGCTTAATTCTTTCAAAATTAAGGGTGAGGGTGCCAGAAAATTGGAAATCATCAAGGCAAAACCAGAGTCAATAGGAACAGAAATGGCCTGTCCACTTAGTGTCCTTGGAATTTGGAAAGGGTGGCAAATCCTCTGTCTTCCCCCATTTTTTAAAATTAAATTTCCTTGATTTCAAGCTGCTGCGTGGATTTTACTCTAAATTGGCTACTTTTTAAAGAAGTGCCTTGCAAGGAGAAAGCCCCTTTCTATGTGCAATAACTTGTCCAAGTATTGTTTGCTGAGCTTCCAGAACAATATCAGCCGTTCCTCAGCAAAAGGAGGAACAAATAACAATATTTCATGTGAAGTCCCAGGTCTCTTGGAAGTATTAGCTTGAAATCACAATAACATGATGCTGGAGACATTATGGAAAGCTCCAGAAGAGAGAATGATGATAATAATAATAATAATAATAATAATAATAATAATAATAATAATAATAATAATATAATTTTAACTCTTCATCCTGTATTTATATATATACATGTATAACATATATTTAATTATTTGCTTACACCATAGCTGGTGGTGTATACATTTTTTATGTTGTTTTTCACACATTCCCTAGCCAGAGGAAAATCAAGGTATGGAAGGAAGAGTGGCTCCTTATGGTAAAACAAGCAGAAATTGAGAGCTTAATTCCATTATATGGGGTTTTTTTTGTTATGAAGTTAATATGGTTTCACAGGAAATTAATCCCCAATTCTGCTCTCAGTTAATGATAATGCCTTCAAACTCATAAAAATTATTTCTGAGTGGCTTTTACCCAGGATTTGCAAAGTCTCTGTGCTAAAAGCAGTGGCTACTAGCTTAATAAATCTGCAAATTGTGCCTCATTTCCCACTCAGGATATCCTTTGCATAAGGAAAAAAAATGGAGGAAAATAAAAAAGAAAGGTTCAACACTCCAAAAATGGGAGCCTTTTCTAGCCTGTACCCAAACACACCCAAACACACCCAAAACCACACCCAAACACACCCAAATACACCCAAATACATCCAAACACACCCAAATACATTCAAACCCACCCAAACACACCCAAAACCACACCCAGACACATCCAAACACACCCAGACACACTGACACACCCAAACACACCCAGACACACCCAGACACAAAGGGAGCCTTTGGCAAAATCCGCATTGAAGCCATTTTTGCTGGTTGCTGGGGCGGGAGGAGGCAGGGTTGGGGTACAGGGGGATGAGGAAGGACCAGGGCACACGAGGATGAGGAAGGACAGGGCACAGGAGGATGAGGAAGGGTGGGTGTGCACGAGGATGAGGAAGGGTGGGGGCACACGAGGATGAGGCAGGGTGGGGACACACAAGGATGAGGGAGGACCGGGCACAGGAGGATGAGGCCGTACAGCCGTAGGGAGATCCTGTCGGGGAGCCGTTGATGAAGCCGGGTGAGCCAGGCACGCCCAGGTTGGACATGGGCACGTTGCTGTAGCCGTTCATGCTGTTGCTGGAGGTGCTATAGTTGGACTGCTGTGGGGTGGAGCTGGACGAGTACCCCCGGGGGGAGATGCTGCTGGTGTTCCGGATGTAGCCTGGAAATATAGCACATTTCACAATAATAAATGGAAATAAAACACATTTCACAGCACCTCCGTGGTTCTAAACTTCCTCCTGCTCATCCCCTGCTTGAATAAATGTCATTGAAATCCAGATAATTGAAAACATTTAGGCAACAGCCATAAATGCAGTGGGTTTGTTTCCTGAGGTTTAAATTCTGAACCAACTTTTTGAAGTGATCTGATGTACATTTTTCCAATAAAATTTGATTTACTGCAATTTTTAATTCATTCCAAGACCTGGACAAGGTTGTGTGTGCTCATGTTTACCTGGGGTAGAATTTATAATATATGGGATTTTCTACCATTGAATGCGGGAGGTTTTACTCCTCAAATTATTGTTGAATTACAGATAAATTACAGATAAAGTATATTACTAAGGGGAAATGATTACCCTTATAAAGTTTGTAGTTTAACTTTTAATTTCCTCTACTTGGGAGAAAGAATAAACTGGATAAGTAAAACCCGTTTTTGTTGCATTAAAAAATGCTAACAAATATTTGGAAGCCCAAATTTAGCCTTTTTTTTACTCCAGAAAGAGAGCTGAAGACTGTAGCTACCAAAATAAAAGGATAAAATCGTTATTCCATATGCAGAAGGGTTTTTCCATGGAAAAGCTATCATTAGAGAAAGTTTTACTCATGCAATAATTACATTAAGAGAAGTCACTATTTAGATCTAATATTGAAGTATATCAAGTCAGGTAATTTCTGCTCATTTACATTAGGAGGTTCTAATTCAGGGCTGGTAAGATCTTGAAAAAATGAGCAAAATTATTTTCATGGTGGATTTTAACTGAGCAGATAGAAAATTAACTTCAAAGGACCTGGGTTTGCTGCCTTCAAGTGTTAAACACATGCCAATTATTGAGAACAACCACAGACTGTGTGCTAAAAATCAAAATATTCAGGAGGCAGAAAAGTTGATAATTCTTCCAATGTTAATACATTGTTTTATCGGTTGTTTTTCTCCCAGTCCATAGTCTATCAGGACTAAATGTAATACATATAATATATGAATTTTGGTAGAGTTACCACTGAAGCAGCTGCCTTAAAAACAACAAAAAAGGAAAATTTCCCACCTGTGTGTGAGGTTTATTCAGCAGCTGCCATTGCCGTTTGAGAAAACAGAGATATAATCAACAAAACTGATATTTTGAGGGGGAGAGGGAGGGAATTCAGGGCCGAGTTAGTATTGAAAATAATCAAAAAGTATTTTGGATAAGACACAGGGGCAGCACCACCCTTTGGGATAGCCAGAGCTGAAGCCATCGCTGGGCACGTGGAGATCCAGGGAAAAATCCAATTGGGAATGATTGGGATGAGGCACTCGGGACGCTGGGGGCTCACCCTGGTTGTTGCCCTGCGCCGATTCGGAGATGCTGACGCCCAGCTGGCTGCCGTAGGAGTTGATGCCCATCATGGAGCCGTGGGCAGGAGAGCTGGACAGCGCCGGGATCTGTGCGGGGTTGCGCGGAACGCTGTACAGAGCCTCGGCGATGTCGGCCGCGCGCTTCAGGATCAGGTCCTGCGAATGAGGGACAGCTCAGGGATGGAGTGCCACAACGGGGAACCTTCCCGGGGGCTGCGGCCGTGCCGTCCCACCCCCGGCAGCCTGACCTGGTTGTTGTGGGGGGTCCCATACAGGGCCTCGACCAGGTCGGCAGCTCTTTTCAGCAGCATTTCCTGTGGGGAGGAGGGAAAGAAGTGTTGTAATGGCAAAAAGTAGATCTGGCCGGTAAAATAAATATACAAATGTTATAAATACAGAAATAAAAATATTTTTTAGAAATATATATATTATATATATAATATATATACACTATATAATATATATTATATATTTTAAAAAATATATTTATTTATTTATATTTTAATATACAAAATATATTTAAATATATATTATATATATTCTATATTATATATAATATATCTAATATATATGATAAAATATATTATATATTATATCATATATAAATACATATAAAATATTTTAAATATAAATATACATATATATTAATATAAAAATATATATTATAAATATATAGAAATATATATTTATTTATTATATATAAGGCGATATAAATATATAATAAATAAAGAAATATAATAAATAGATGTAATAAATAAATGTTAAAATTAGAATAAAAATAGAATAAAAATATATAAATAAAAAGTAAGCTTATAATAAATAAAACTAAATACAAAAATGCAGTGAATTAAGTAAATATGTGATAAATAAAGTGCTAATAAATAAATACAATAAACACAATAAAATAATTCAATAAAATAGGCCAAAATAAATAAAATAAAATAATGAATAAGACAGAATAGACTAGACTACCCTGAAGTAAAAAAAAATAAAATACAATAAATAGAAGAACAGAACAGAACAGAACAGAACAGAATAGAATAGAATAGAATAGAATAGAATAGAATAGAATAGAATAGAATAGAATAGAATAGAATAATTGAATAAAATAAAACCATGAGCTAGTATTCTCTCAAGTTACTCCGGGGTTTGTGTGTGGTCTCTCTGAAGCCCGGGTGAGTTCGCCAGGTGTTATTTGCCAGGTACCTGAAGAATTTAAGCCTTACCAGTGGGTCAGAGCAGCCCCCCCAAAGCACGAGTCCCTTTGGAGCCCGCGGGGCTGATCCCTGGCTCGGCCTTGTCGTGTCCGGGGCTCCTCCGTGACCCGGAGCTCTCCAGAGTCCTGAACCTGCTCCACCTCAGCAGCACCAAAAGCCGAGACAAATCCCGGATGTCACCGGTGCCCTGGGGATTTCAGTGCGTCCTTTTGCATGGACACAGAAGCTTGTGTAGGATTCAAATCATTCCCTTGCATTGTATGTATGTGTCCATCCTTGCATGGACACAGCTCTGGGCTCAGGGATCTGCCACCGTTGATAGGGCAGAGCACAAGGACAAGGAACTGGGAACGGTCACTGGATGAAAGTTAGCAGCAAAATCACACAGAGACTGCTGGAAGAACACACAAAAATCACTGCAGCTTCTACACAATCCCATCTTGCCAGACTCACAACTGATCGGTGAATTCAGAGGTGATTGTCATTTAAGATATGATTGTGTCTCTTTTATGAATTAGAAGTGAAAAGAACATATTTGGTGGGTGGAGTGAAATGCTTGAAATAGTTTTACCTTAGCTAATCTTTCAGGGTCCCCAGGATGTCTTGGGATGACCTTCTGCAGTCTTTGGAAGCCGTAATCTATGGTAGGTTCATTTAAAGCTGCAAGGAAAACATCAAACCCACCACAATACGTGAGTGTGTCTAAACAGGTATTTTTATATGGCTCTGTCCCAATAGGGAAACAAAGAAATCATGACTTCTGCACTTAAAACTGCTTCAGATTCCCTGGCTGACTTCTCGCCCTCTATCAAAAGCTGAATGAGTAATTTCCAAGATGCAGCAGCACTGTCTCAAAATACTCCCTTAAAGATGAATGTTTCACTCTGGACAGAACCATTATAGCAATAAAGCAAATTATGAGACAAATACACACCAGAACAGGTCTTCTCCTGCTGGTTACACAGCCAGAAATCAGATAGCCGTGTTTGCTCCTCTAATAAACACATTCCACACACGCCCCCAACGTTTTGCAGTCCCAAAGTAGGGCACAGCTCTTCATCAGACACATTCCCTTCCCCAGTTGTGTGTTCTGCATACGCCGCCACTTCCCTGTAATGATCTTAATCTCTGGTGGATAAACCAGGATATTTTGACCCAGATCCTCAGTTAGCAATAGTTGGCAGAGCCCTGCTGACATTGCTGATGATTTCAGACAACTTCATGTTGTATAAAATGTACATTTTAACACAAACGATACATTCATGTGAGGATTCTGCGAAGAATTTCAGGACACGTTTAATAAGGAACATATGTAAGTCCTTTAGCACTACCCTCAGCCAGTGCTGGCTTAGACCTTCTTGTACCATTTGTGCTTCTTTTGGGGGGGAAAACAAATCTTTATTTTTAAAAATAACTAGCAGTGGCACTGCTGAAAACCCCTGATTACAAAAGATGCTGATGGTTCCTACTGAATTATCCAAAATATCCTGAGTACCTCACAGGAGAACCATCTCCTGCTCCAGATGAACCCAACGAGTGGGACAGAAATACACTGATCCAGGTTCCCTGTTTATCCCTGTTCCCTGTTTATCCCTGTCTGCCTTTCGTATAACAACATGAAGGTAAAAGGTCACATTCCCCACTGAGATACATTTTATATTTACTTTTTATTAAATAATTATGGCATGGCATGAAGTTTAAATATTACAGGAGATAATCGAGTGGGAATTGAGCAGAGAAAACCCAGACCTGAGAATTTAGTCTTGGCTATACTTAGAATGTCTTTGCTCTCCATTGGGAGCCATTCTGGTTTGCTTAAAGAGTTTAATAATACACATTTCAACTGCCACAGGATCTACATCCCGTTTGGGAAGAGGAGTTTTTGGGGGGTGGGTTATTTTGCCAATAATCCTGAGAATTAGAGGCCAGTTCTCTCAAGAGCCTAGACATCATCATGTGCCATTTCTCTTCTTGATCACAAATCTATTCATTTAAGTTATATATCTCAAGATAAAGAAATGTGAAATATATAGGAATTCAAGCATATGAAATATACTGGAATTCAAATATATATCAAGTTACTAAAAATAGCTAGTGGGAATATACAAAATGCTAATTCAGGAAGAAGTAGCTGGCTATTATTCAACCAACATTTTTCCAATGGATTGACATGGACAGTTTCATCCTGATAGATCAACAGCAACAAATCATTTCCCAGCAATGCTGAATTGTTCTCAGGACTCAGCCATCCTGAATCAATGTGTACATTATGTCATTCAGCACAAAGGTTTTCTGTACAGCCTGCGACGAAATTGCCCACTCCCGGTTTTACTCATTAATGGAACAATAATATCTCTGTTGTGGAATCCTGTGAAAAACCAACACCAAGTATTTGGAGAACTAAATACTAAATACTTGGGACTCTACTCCCAAGTGGAGGCCAAAGATGAAGAATCCACTAGCAAGTTTAAGCAGCTTTCCCACAATTCCACTTCCACTGAGGAAAGAGCTGCTGGATCAAGAGTGATTTATCTGTGTGTTACATAGAAATATTCCAGAATTATATCCAAATGCTTTGTAGTTCATGGATTAAGAGACCATAAAAGGGTCTGACACACAAGCAGGCTGTTCTTTATTTCTGTCCCAGGGAACTCACTCTTCCAATTTATAGAGCTCTCTGCATCCTTGTAAGTGTTGTTTCTCACAAGCAGAAAACAAGAGCTCCGATCTCCTTACAAGATTTAGTAAACCAGCACCTTCTCATCCCTGGATCCTGGCACAGAGGCTGATACAGCACAACCCAGAGCCCAACCTCTCACACAGGTTATTTTATATTGGTTTGCTCTGACAAGGTAACCCCTGGAGGATTTCTGCTCAGCAAGGAAAATTATGTTCCAAATCTCCCTGATATACACATTTCCAGGTTAGCATCTCTGTGACAAAGTAAATGCAGAACTGTGATCAAAGCTGAGCTAGGAAAGCCTGCAAGACGTGCCCTCAGCTGGCATAAACTGGTGTGTTATTAAAGCCAAGGGGACTATAATGGAACCACTTACAGCAGCAGAGAATTTGAATTTGTGTCGTATTAAAAGCAGAATATGAGGCTACAGCAAGATTAGCAGCAGAGAACAAATGTCTTTTTATTCCAGGAGCAGCTGATGAAAGGAAAGCAATTCAGAACAGGGATATGTGTGCAACCTGTATCCTCACCAGATGAAAGCACACATGGGAACTAAATGTTTGGGTGTGGTGATTTAAAAACAGCCTTTTATCTCTCATTTTAAGTATTTCATCTCTTACTTCAACTGCTACAGTTGATTCAGCAGCTGCCATTCCCTTCCAATGAGCCATTTGTCTGGGTTTTTGCTGTACATGTCTACAGAATCCTGCTGGCTTCACTCTGACAGGAAGTTTTCCACTTGGGAACCTTATGGAAAAGTCCAAATGTCCCATTTTGGCAATGAGAGGAGGCTGATGGCCAGGTTGCAGCACCCTGGGTGGGAGCACTTTGTAATGGAAACACTGAGAGCCCCCAAAGTACAGCAGTTCTAGCAAGGCACACTTTGCAGGAGCCCGACATAAAGGACACAGATGAGCTCCCACAACAGCCTCACTCTGCCAGCTAGATTTACCCTTGAAACGTATAGCTAATTTTTATAGTCATCTTTCCAACAGTTTGTCATTTTCTTCTTCAGACAATCTGTCTTAGTGTGACTCTTTCCAAAAAAAATAAAAAAGGAAAGCTCAAATGTAACCAGGTTGAACATAAATATTTGGTTGTATATTCTGTAGGCAGACCCATGTTGTGACAGCAGTTGGGAAAAATATTAATAGTGTGCAGTAAAAATGCCTTATGAAACCTCCTCCTTACACCCCCAAATGTCACCACTGCCAGAGTGGCCTTGGAAGAGAAAGAGGGTTAATTAATTAATCAATTATTTAATCAATCAAACCAAAGGTTGTCAATACCAATCACCAACACAGCTCCTGCAGCCCAAACCCCAGGCACCCACCTGTGTAAATGAACCTGCCTGGTGCTCCTTTGCAGAACTGTTTGGATTTGTAGGATAATGTCACCTCCACCACACCAGGAATGTGTCGGGGGGGCGTCTGGACGCGGATGGCATGAGGTGTGATCAGCTGGGGATGGCAACAGGAGGCATGAGACCATCAGGTGTCTGCTCTATTCTTTTACTTCACCAGTAAATTACAGAAAAGTTTGGGTTGGAGGACTCCAAAGATCAGCCAGTCCCATCCCCAGTTAACACCTTTCTCTATCCCAGATTGCTCCAAGTCCTGCTCAGCGTTGGGCACTTCCAGGGATGGAGGAGCCACAGCTCCTCTGGGCTACCTGTACCAGGCCCTCACCATAAAAAATATCATCCTCATCTCCAACTCTACTCTTGTTCATTTTAAAATCATTTCCCCTTGCCCTGCCATCACAGGCCTCAGTAAAAACTCTTTATTTTTTATTATCCCTATAGATCAGCAGAGGGATACACCTGGGTTAGTTCCTGGCCTCCAGAAGAGGATCACACATTTTAGGATAAATGGTCATTAAGAAACTTGTACTGTTAAGCCCATTGGTTAATTGATGCCTTATTCTTGAGCCCAGATGGATTATTTTTCTCCTTCCCAAAGTCAAACCCTTTATTTCTCTACCTTTGCTTATGTAAATAAACCTGTGTAAATAATAAACCCTGTAGAAAAAGTAGTAGAGTAGCATTCATTAAGTTCATCAATATGTAAAAATAGATATGGGAATATCAAATGTCTCCTTCAGCTCATATCAGAAGACAATTTCTAATAATTTATTTGATTTTATAGACACCTAGAATTGTTCAGTTCCATTCTAGGTATCACTCAGTAATATCACAGAGCAAGGAAAGCACATTCCATGAATTCCTGTCACACAGGCTTCAATGTCCCACCTCCCACAGCAGCATGGAAACAGCACTGAACCCCGAGCCTCCTCAGGAAAGGGAAGTCTGTACCCACCTCACTCCACACCAGCATGGTCCCAAACACCACCTGCAGCCCATCAAAGAAGTTGTCCCCGATGATGATCACCATGGCTCCCCCTGTGGTCCACCCCTCGCTCGGGCTGATGGCTTTGATGCAGGGCGTGGCTGCACAGAGCAACAAAAACCATCAAAACTTCAATTTAAGGTGTCTTCTTTTATCCCCCCAACAGCTTTGAGGCTGTTTGCAGGTCTGGGTGTGAATCTCTGGAGCAATTCCTGCAAGCATCGAGCATCCCAAGTGAGGCAAAACTGGAGCTAAGAGCAGCTCCACCCATCCACGCCTGGGAATTCCTGAATTCCCAGTGCTGGCAGAGGCCTAGGACAAATCCCTTCCAGCCATCCACACAAGAAGGCTGCTCACCACTCCACAAACCCCAGCATGCTGATAAATAAATAAATAACGGAATGTTTTCTGCCTTGCAAGTGTTAATTACTTGCCTATTCATTACTGACACTTAACATCGTGTCATTAAAGCCTAATAGGCCAACTGTAGTGGGTGTAAAAACCAAACGCTTAAATGGCTGTGCAGAGGCTGCTTAAAAAAACAAAATAGCACCCACTCATTAGCATATGATCCCACAAATCCTGTGGAAAAAAAGGTAGAGTCACAGTCATTAAGTTTATCAATGGGTGAAAGAAGGGAATATCAAATGTCTCCTCCAATTCATATCAGGACATAATTTCTAATAATTTTCTTGATTTTATAGAGTCAATTTTTATTTTTTTTTTTTAATTTTTTTTTATTTCTCTCTTCCATATGTTCAAGGCCTCTGGACTATGCATCCCATCAGGAACCCAATATGGTTTCCAGGCCATAACCAAAGTCAATCCATCACTCCATTCCCAATGTTGACAGGGTCAGAGGTGGAGGGGAACTTTGGCAGTGCTCCAAAAACATGAGACTCCTTTGAACAGCCAGTCAATCACATCCAATCAGTCAAGGAAAAACTGGATGGCTTCCTAGGCTAGGAATCCTGGGATTTTCCTTCTACCATTTCACTGCCCGCTGGGGGAGAATTAACACCACTCTGAATTCTTTACTGATTCAATCATTTTCTTCCAGTTCATTAATTCTTCTTTTAGGTTGATACAGGGCACAGTTAAGAAGTGGGGCAGCAAAACATTATAATGAAATAATATCCTTGCTTGTCTTTTCTACTAACATCACCAGCTCTTCTCACTTTCAGTGGCTGCAGGAGAGGGAAAAGCAGGCACTGATAGCATTTTCCAGCATTTTCCAGTCAGTTTTGAGCACTGTCTGCTTGAGAGAGGTGGAACATTTTGGGAACGGAGAGGGAGAGGAGGGGCCAAACGTTTTGAAACTTAACAGATACAAGAATTTGTAATTGCTTGAATACAGTCCCCAACCCATCCTGGAGCTGGCCATGAGTCTGGCTTAGCCAAACAAACTCACATCAATTAGTGTCAGCTCCCTCTGCGCATCGTTAGGCTCCGTGCACAGTTTGTTTAAGGGAACCAGTGACACTTTTTCATACACATCTTGTGCTGGAACGGCTCTGTTTAACTAAGATGTCATCTTGCCTAATTTGCCTGAAATCAAATCTATCCCAGCTGAATGAGAGGGCTGAAATTTAGATAATACTTGGTGTTTCTGTGTTTTTCATCTTTGCAGTACATACTAATTAATAAATTGCAGGGGGAGGGGGAGCCAGTCCCTTAGAAGTGAGGAGGATCATATTTTGCATGCAGTAGACACTGTTTTCCAGCCTCTGCCTTCCCCAAACCCCCTGAGGCTCTGCAATTCCCCCTTAGCTCTCCTTCCCTCCTGAAAACAAACAGAAAGGGAAGAATGGGTAATTTCTGCTCTGCTCTCCAGACAAAACTCCCACCTTCCGAGGGGTCGAGTCTCCTTGCTCTCCGCCCGTGCTTGGAGTTGTTGTGCACGAACATGTTGTCAGACACTGCCAGCACGTGCCCATCCACGTTCACTGTTGTCGATAGCACCACCTGGATATTTAGAAAGAAAAGGAAAAAACAGACAGGTAAAGAATTTATTCGAAATTCAGCTTGTTAAGGATTAATAATTCTGTTCTAAACCCTTTTGTTTTGTAAAATGGCAGCACACCCTGAGGGGGTTTACAAGAAGGGGAGAAAATATTTTCAGCCTTCATTCAATGCATTAATTGCATTTAACACATGTGGGCTATATAGAAGCCTCACTCTATAGTGACAGAGCTCCTGCAGTATGGAAACTCCATGAAAACAGGACCTAATTCCATTCCTGGTTTTGACATGTGAGTGCATGGTGCCTCCTGAAAAATCATCTAAGCCTGAGCACCCCAAACCAAGCAGCAGGTTTTAAACCTCAGCCTCCATGACTGGGCTCCAATTTGAATTCTTAGAAGAAGTAACTGTATATGTTAATTAACCCACTTTAGTTTTTACAGTATCCAAAGCTCTAAATCCCATCAATCCAGAAACATGTGTGACTTCAAGCCACAGACTTTTGGGAAAAACAAACAGCGTTTTAACTCCTGAAAGAAGATGCCCTCAGATTGAGTGGTTTTGACTATTAGTTGGTGTAAATAAGCTTAATTCCATCCCAGTGCCACACCTACAGCCATGGAAAGTCAAACCCTGGATGTGTTCATGGATTTTTACTGCCTCAGCTGTCACAGCCGAGGTAAGAGGATGTCAAGCTCTAATTGTTGATAAAACTCTGTTCAGCACAGAGCAGGAGAGACCTTGCCCCCGCCAGGCTTAGGAGAGCTTAAAGAATACTTTCTTTCTTGAGACGAATCTAATTCATTCCAAAAGGCTCTTGTCATCCTGTACTCTTATACTTCTCAAGCATTCTTGTCACAGAATGTGTTGCTTTTGTGTGCCAACTGATTTCCTCATTCCCATTAGGGTGGGGTGTGACTCCATCCAAAGGGAACGTTTCCCGCATGACATAGCTGAGCCCACTCAGATGCACTTCATTATTTTCCCTTAAACAATGGAAATAAATTTTAGTCTCTCACTGGCCAGCCCAGAGCACACTGTGGCAAAGGGGAATAGGCCTGAATTATTCCAGTGTCTGAAATATTTACGACAAGTGTTTAAATTGCAACCAAATGTAAAAAAAAAAAAGTGTGTCTTGTATATACAGTTACAGTATGGAATAGAGACATCTCTGAGCTCACTTACACAAGTGGGATAAACACACCCACGTGCTCCCAGGAAGGGAGAGCAGAGGCAGCCTTTAAGTGTTCACACATAGAACAGAATTATGGAATGTCCTGAGTGGAAAAGGGACCCACTGGGATCATCCAGTTCCGCTCCTGGCCCTGCACAGGCACCCCAAAATCCCACCCTGAAGCATTGTCCCAATGCTCCTGGAGCTTTGGCAGCCTCCGTGCCCATTCCCTGAGCAGCCTGGGCAGTGCCAGCACCCTCTGGGGGAAGAACCTTTCCCAAAATCCAGCCTGAGCCTCCTGGCACAGCTCCAGCCGTTCCCCAGGTCCTGTCCCTGTCCCAGAGCAGAGGTCAGTGTTGGAATCACCGTTTGGGTTGTGCACAAGACAAGAGCCACATTTTGGGAGGAGATGTAGAGACCCCCACAGCAATGGCAAAGTATGAACCAGCCCAGAAGACAAGAGCTGAGCATCTTCTGCTCCCTGAGCCAGCAGGAATGGAAGATGCACTCCTAGACCTCAGTCCGTGTGAGGTTCCATTTTTATCCACCTCTCCCAGTCATGACAGGACAGCCAGAGCCACTTGGCCTGTTGCAGTCTGGGACCCAGAGTGAATAAACACCGTGTTCTCGTGGGCAGAATGAGATGCAAAGTTTAGACCTGGAGCGGAACCTTCTCAAAGTCTGGGGCCTTTTTTGCTGTAACCTGAATTTCAGCAGAGATCTTGGTCATTGCTGCACCACCACCACCCAACTCCTCATCCATAGTGTGGAGAAAGGACAGGTGAGATCGTGGACCTCAAAATGACTGAACTTCTTCACTTTGCCCCAGCCATTCCCTGTTGCCTGATGGAGATCACAATTGTTTTATTCTGGAGATTAAAAACCAATGTTTTATGGATAAAAGGAGGAGGAATGTGCATTCCACCATGGTCTCTAACTCCCAGGCCCTTCCCTTTCACAAGCCAACTGCTTTCCCCCAGTGAGTATTTCCTGGGTCATGAAGGGTGACCCTTTCCATCTGGAATCAATCAGTCAACTCCTGACAACTTCCTGAAACACCTCACTCCATTTCCTGTTCTCTCCCCCTTCCCGCTTTTCCCCTGGTTTGCTTCACTCTTCAAAACTGCAGGCCACAGCAGCTTAATGTTAGAGGGTCAGACACAGTTAGACTCCAAAACACTACACAAGAACACCTTTGACCTTCAAAAATCTTTACATCTTAGCTAAACAAATCAAGGTCAACATTTCTTACCATTACCTTGTTAACCATTTCTATGCATTTTTGCCAATACTCTCCTGAACATGTATTTATCAGCAACACTTGTTCTCCCAACATAGTAAAACAGTCCAAGCCCCTTTATAAAAAACCTGTATTTAGTGCTGATGAAAGGTGATGTGCAAACTTCCCTGGAGATTTAAATTCTGACTTTTGCCCACAGTGCTGGCAAATGGCTCTGGTGAGTTTTTCTTTTCCTGCCCTGATGGCACCACTTCTTGCCTATGATAATTTGGCTTCTTTGCCTGTTCTCAGTGGAGAATCTTTTACCTAACACCATTTGCTAAGGCAAAATTTAATCCAAAGGGAATGATCTGAGAACAAAAAAATAGGTCAGGTAGGCCATGGATTCTGATAATTGAGTCTGAGGGCCAAATTTTGGGCACAGCCATCATAAAAACTACAGGTTTTGTGCCACCCAAAAGCTGGACCAAACTGTCACCTCTGCTGGGGTTTCAGAGGACAGCAAGCAAGAAAGAAAGAGAGAGGGCAATGTGTTATTACTTCATCCTTCCAAACACAGATCCCATCTCCCTCAGAACACTGGGGGAATTACAGGATTCTAAGCTGTTTTCACACTCCTCAAGGTTCTCCCTGCCAATCTGCAAAGGTCTTCTTATCAGCTGAGAGACCACAGCCAAAAGCAGTGATTCCCCAGCAGTCCTGGAGAGATGCCAGAGCCATATCCCCACATTATTTTTGTTTCCTAGGTGCATTTCTGTAATGCAGTCCTTGCTCAGAACCCACGGGGAGGGTTCACCTCCTGTGACATCCAGGCAAAGTGTCTTAAGCACATTAAACTCGGCTCCTCTGAGCTGCACTGCCTCTCCTTCGCCTCCCTCCCAGCTCAGGGTGTTGTGTTTCTTTACAAACCCTCACCTGGGTACTACACATTTCCCTCCCCCAACTATGTTATATCAGTATTTTTATATTCTAAAGTGTGCTGCTCTTCAAATCACAGATATGCAAATCCATTCACATCCCCAGATATAAAATCTGTATCAGTCACAAACACCTATTTAGACATATGGTACAAACATTCCAGGGCATACAGGCATTTACTTACATGTAACATATCTCATCACTGTGTAAATGATCTCTCTCAAAAAAATTCCTGTTACCATTCCAAGTGTAGAAAAAATTCTTTATGACATTGTACATCTGGAAACAATATTGCATTCCTGATGCACTTTCCCTTATAACTCTCTAGTCACAGCACCATGTTATTTTAACTTTAAAAAATAATAAAAAAAACCAACCAAAAATGCTATGAGGATTTTAAAACATAGTAATTTTTTATTATTGTTATTATTTTATTATTAGTATTAGTATTTTCCAGCTGAGTGGAAGGAAAGATGTCAGGCCTCATCCTTCTGCCTGGACTTGGACAGGGCTCCCATTGATGTCAACAGGAATTTTGGTTGAGGGAGTAACACAGGAGGAGAGCCTGGATGTGATGGGTTTGCTTCAGAGTTGGATGAGGAATAGGATAAACAATGTGGAAAATGCCAGCGGCCTCACTCTGCTCAAAACTTCCATGGAATTCTTTGGGAAATCCTCTCCAGCACCCTGAGCCTGCAAAGTGGGGGCTGACAGGGCAAACTGGGCACTTGGCCTTCACCCCAGGGAATCTGGAGGTTTTTGGGACACTGGGGTTGGGCTCCACTCCTGGGCCATGGACACCTCATCTCCTGCTGTTATCCACAGCCAAACCACAGAGCCGCTTCCATGTAATCCTATACAACCATTTCCACCTTTGCTTTTGACACCCTTCTTGTTTTAAAGCCTGGGGGTGAGGAAATTTATGGTTTACAGCCTAAATTTAGTCTGTTTATACTTAGCATTAGCTTTAAAATTATTATTTCCCTTCCTGACCTACCTGAGGGTAATTCTAGAGAGCAGTTCCAGCTCTCCTCAGTGCAAGGATTTGAGCCAAGCTCTTCTCCAGCCCCTGTCCCCTTAATGACCCATTCCTGCACCTGTTCCAATGTCATTTTGCTCTCTTCTGACTGTAGTTAATGCAGTGTATTGTACCCAAACAAGAAATCAGAGGGGCCCAATGCAACAAATCCCTCTCCTTTCTGCTGCCAGTGTGAGACAGAGTGGATCTCATCTGTGGTTTGTTTTTAATGGATGACACATCACTCTGGGAACTCTCTTTCCCCATGGATATTTGGCCTTCAGATCTGAGCACATTAAGCTCCTTGAGTACTTTTTCTTTTGCAGCTGAGTCAGTCCTTCCCTTACTCACACAGAATCTAAAATAACCTCACCTTTTATTGGGTCAGTCAGTACCTGATTAAGAGATCTGCCCCCTGCAGTAACAGCCCAGGCTCTGCTGACACCAGCTGCATTTGTTTTGCAATCTATACCTGGGAAATCAGTGCCCCAAAATGATTATTCCATGTAGGATTCAGCTCCAGCAGAGTTCAGTGATCCCTCTCTGTATCCCAGCCTGACCATGGGGGTCTGTGGCACATTCCTTCCTGATTCCTTCCCATTTAGAGCAGTTCTGTTTTATCCTTGCCATCCTTTTTGCTTCCTATGGCCTAC